GTTTTTTCATACACCCTACTCTAGCATGCTTCTCATAACTGTCTAAAACCTTTATTTTACTGCTTTTGCCTTCTGGCCTTTAAAATTGTAAGAAACAAACCAAAACCCCTATGACTTTTTGTTCAATTGTATTATTTTAGAACTTGTGTTCATACGCAGTCCGCGAGATCGATATTCGGGGAATTTCCCCTTATTACTACATCGGTACAATTAGTACACTTGCTAATTTACCGGTCACTTAAAATACAACTTTCTAATTTTTGTATCAAATCGAACATGCGAATATAACATCTTACTTAGAATTTCATGAGAAATCAAAATATACTATTGACTTTTATTTATTTCATCTCAAACTCATGAATTTTAAGCAAAACTAGAGAAAACCTAAAATTTTAAATTAAAGTTAAATTCCATATACAATCAACCAATGCCTATTTTCATGAGGATTTCATTCCTCACATCATAACAAGCATAATGGTAACAAGAATGAACATAAATGATGCTTGAATGGTAGAGTTTGAAATATGAAAATTTTACCAAATGGAGTTTGTTCGTTGCACCTTCAAACGCACTTCCAGAAATGAAGCAAGAGTTCATTTAGCTTCCTTGCACCTCCAGGAATGTAACGGTGTGCTTAGTTTTTTCTGAAACACCTTGAGTTTCTATACTCGAATCCACTTGCAAGATGAAAAAGTTAACTTTGGATATGGATTTTTGGAGGTTATGAGTGTGGTTCAATGCATACAGTAGCTCTTATGATGTTTGTGGATGGTGTTTGTGAAGATAAATTGGAAGTAGAATGGATGGAATGTGTGACTCAAAAGTTTTTGCTTTGAGCAAAAATGAAGTTTTGAAAAAATGTGATTTTTGTGCTTTATGACTTCTTGATGTTTTTGTGTATGTTTGTTGGTATTTGTTGATGATAAATGATCTTATATAAAGCTTTTTATATAGAGTTTTTGACTTTGTCTTGGAGATAATTTTGGATAAAGTGTGAATATTGTTCAATGGACAAATGCAACAAAAACCAAAAAAATGGTGGAAGGTACAAGTAGCCTTTGCTTTCTAGTGTGGCTGTAAGTTGACATTCTTGAGTCATTCTCAGATTGTACAAGCTATCTCTGATGTGTAGATAATCTCTCTTGTCTTCTTGTACAAGAAAAGGTCAAAAAACACTTTTCACACATTGTCCATGATGCAATTCAAGTTGGCACATTGGACCAAGCTTTTCTCTCGTGTATTTAGATGAATTCTGCAGAAGTTTGGTTCTAAGGTGAATATATTGTGTGATACTATAATTTTCATGTTGATAACATCTTGGGAGAAGGCTTAGAAAATTGTCAAAAGATGCCTAAAATTCGTGTGGCCGAAGTTGTCCAATAACTTTGAAAAAATTTGGTTCATTTATAATTGATCACCATGAATGAAACCTCAACTTTGATCATCAATATCTCTCAATTGGTAAAAGTTTTTTGGACCAAATTTTCCACTAATATGAAGTATGAAATGTGATCTTTAATTTCAGCCCTCAAGTCTCAAAAGTGGTGGCTTGGATATTTCACAAAGAATCCACAAAGTCATGCAATTGACAAGGTTAAAACCATGGAAAGTAGGGTTTCTAAGTGTTTTGGATTTTCACACAACTTGAAACCCTAACTTTGGGCACCAATATCTTCCACTCCAAGAAAGCTTTTGGCTTATAATTTTCATCAGCTTCTAGTATCAAATTTCATATTTAAGTGAGGCTCTAAAGTGCTTCCATTGGATGCTTGTGGAAGAAGTTATAACCTTGGAAAGTAGGTCACTATATCATGGATATTTGTATAGAGAAAAATTCAAGAACCCTAATTTTGAATTTTTTGCATCTTTGAATGATTTATTTGATTAATCATGATCAAATTCAATCATCTTTCATATTTTCATGCTCCTGGACTTTTGAAATCCATAATTGACCAAAAATTTCAAAAGTCAAACTTTGACTTTGATCAACAGTTGACCTTTCATCAGTTGAATCAAAATCTTTCAATTGTCAACAAATCAAACTTCTTAAGCTAATCCCCCCCACTCTTACCAAGTCTGGTGCCTTGCACTTAAACTCTGCGCACACGACTCGAGAACACACTGCCCGAGGTGTTATGATTTCACCTAACCCCACTAACCCAGCTTTATTCCATTACATGTTACCCCATGTGAAGTCTCCATAACACCCTTGTCCCTTCACTATCCTTTTTCACCATATAACCGGCTACCTATTTCACTTTCTAAGCCAATAAAAATTGCTTCTTCTGACACGCAGGATGCTTCTTGGAAGTCACCCACAGTTGTTTCCAGCATTTCCGATTCCCACTTCAAGCAGGCGCAAAACAAATGGTTTAAACCATCGAACTAAAACACCAACCATCATGGACCAAACCCATTTCCTCTTCCTCAACCCACTTGCACCTCATCAATGAACTTTGAGACAATGTTCTTATTGGGCCTACGATTAATGATATGAAGAGTTCAAGGTCCATTAGAGACAAGAAGATATATGTTTTATTGAAGGATTGTTACTATTAAATTAGGGGGTCCAACTATTAATTATTACTTACTGTTTGTGTTTTTATTTATTTGAGCCCATGATCTATCAGTCCTTTTGTAAACTCTAACTATTTTTATCATCTTCTTGTTACTTTGAAGGTAATGAAAATTCTGAAAAGTTTATGTCTTGTGTTTTTTATCTTCCTTTGTCGTTTTAGATCTATAGGTAACTAAGAGTAGTCTAACAAATTTATAACATGTCAATGATTTTTTTTCTAATAAATTAAATTGATATGTCGCGAGTTTGAATCTACACTGTTACATTCAGATACTTCTACCCAACTACCAATTAAATTGACATGATATGACAAAAATGTTATTTTTTCTTGGATATAATAATGTGACAAAGATGATATTTAATATAAAAAAATTCTATCATAAACGGGTCATAATATTTAATATAACTAATTCTTTATCTTAAAAGAAAATTTTATAAAATTATATAAATTATCAATATTAATATTAATAGCACACTAAATTTTCTTAACTTATGTGATTTATTCATTTAATTTAGTCTTATTTAGAGAAGTATTTTTAGTGATCAAAGGGATAAATTTGGGCATTTGCCTTAAAATAACTATAAGCTACAAAAAAGCTTTGCCCAACAATTTATATCCTGTCGTTTTTTATAGAAATCTTTTTAACCTCCAATAAATCAACCTCATTAAACTCATGGCTCACATTTTTCAACTAACATGCTAAATTTAAAAATGTCCATTCTTCTTACCTCTTAGTATAAATAAATAAGTATACACACCTTATAATATCATAAATACATTCACTGAAGGACTTTCAAAGAGGATCATCAAAGCCTCTAACAAGTCCTTCATTTTATTATTACTCACCCAGCTATCCCTTTTCTCACCAAGTAAGTAATTCTATTCTCATTATTTTATAATTTGTTTGTTTTTATTGCAAATGTTAATGACATGCAGCTTCTGATATCATTAAAATGAAATTGTATGCATGATTGATATCATACCTCATATCACGATCACGCGTACAATTGCATTACAATGTGATGTTGTAACTAACTCTTGTTCTTGTATGTATTGAAGGTGTTAATTGGTAGCTGTTAAATAATATAAATAAATAAAATGGGAGACGACGGCAAAACTAAGAGAATTGCCATAATTGGTGTGTCTACCTTCTTATTAGTAGCTATGGTAGCAGCGGCCGCGGTTAGTGTGAGTCTCGGCAAAAAAGAAGCAATAGAAGAGACAAATGATTCACATGTATCTTCGTCAATGAAAGCTGTTAAAAGTCTTTGTGCACCAACAGATTATAAAGAAGAATGCGAGGAAAGTCTTACATCACAAGCTGGAAACACAACTGATCCAAGAGAACTCATCAAAATCGCGTTCAACATAACCATCACAAAAATTAGCAAAGAGCTTGAAAACACTCAACTCCTTAAAGATCTTGAAAAAGATCCAAGAACAAGTGACGCATATGACACATGTAAGGAACTCATGCATCATTCCATTGAGGAATTGAAAAGATCATTGGAAAGCTTTAGTCAATTTGACCTTAATAACCTCGACAGAATCTTTGCGAGTCTTAAGGTTTGGTTGAGTGGTGCAATAACATACCAAGAAACTTGTTTGGATGCTTTCGAGAACACTACGGGTGATGCTGGTCAGAAAATGCAGGAGGTTTTAAAAGCATCTATGCATATGAGTAGTAATGGTCTTTCCATAATTAACGAACTTTCTAGATTCTTAACAAACATGAAACCTCCGTCTCGTCGTCTTTTGGATGAATCTGATGTTGATCCCGATGTTATTGGTCATGGTGATTTTGAGCTTCCTGAATGGGTTGAAGATCGCGTCGGTGTTAGGAAACTACTTAAAATGACCGGAAGAAAACTTAATGCTCAACTCGTTGTTGCTAAGGATGGAAGTGGAAATTGTACCACAATCAATGAAGCTCTTACCTTTGTCCCCAAAAAGAATAAGAGGCCTTTTGTTATTTACATAAAAGAAGGTGTTTATAGCGAATACGTTGAAGTTCCTAGAAACTTAACTCACGTCGTTTTCCTCGGTGATGGTGCTAAGAAATCTCGTATTACTGGTAACAAAAACTTCATTGATGGCATTGGTACCTTCAGAACCGCAACCGTTGGTACGTGTATTCTAAAAGTTACTTTTTACTTTATATTTTATCACTTACGGGCTTAAAAGTTATAGTGCTTGTATTCATATGTACTTATTATGCTTTGATTGCAGCTGTTCTTGGAGATTTCTTTGTTGCACTTGGTATCGGTTTTGAAAACACTGCTGGAGCAATAAAGCATCAAGCTGTTGCCCTTAGAGTCCAATCAGACAGATCAATCTTCTACAAATGTAGAATGGACGGTTACCAAGACACACTTTACGCTCACACCATGCGTCAATTCTATCGCGACTGCACCATCTCAGGTACCATAGACTTTGTGTTTGGCGATGCGGTTGCTGTTCTACAAAACTGCACATTCGTTGTCCGAAGGCCAATGGAAAACCAACAATGCATTGTAACAGCACAAGGTAGGAAAGAAAAAACACAACCATCAGGATTGGTCATTCAAGGAGGCTCCATTGTGTCGGACCCTGCATACTATCCAGTTAGGTTTGACAACAAAGCTTACCTCGCTCGTCCATGGAAGAATTTCTCAAGAACTATCTTCATGGATACATACATCGGCGACTTGATTACACCTGATGGTTACATGCCATGGCAAACACTTACAGGAATAACAGGAACTGAAACATGTTTCTATGCTGAATACAATAATCGTGGTCCTGGTGCTGATGTTTCAAAGCGTGTCAAATGGACCGGTGTTAAAACTATCACATCGGAAGGAGTAACTGGTTTCTTGCCATCAAGGTTTTTCCTTGGAGATGATTGGATTAAAGTTACTAGCGTTCCTTATTATCCCGGAGGAGCTACGGGTTCTTCTAGAGTCCCAACTCATTGAAATTAATTTGTATTTTTTTTAAGTGAGTTTGTCAATTTGAGTGTAATTAGCATGCAAGTTGTCGTCCTTCGAACACTTTCAAATGTAGTTGTCTTTACCATTCTCATGTCTAGGTGGATGTATAGCTCTAATATCATTTATTATGTATACATTAAAGAGGCAGTTTAGCAGTGAGACATCCACTGACCAATATTGTCAAGAAGTGTGGCCACATTGTCGATATGTTGTTTCTTTCAGTCTTGGACCAAATCCTTGAGAATTTTCCCAGATTGCAGCCAAACATCACTTCAAACGTTGACCTTCAAACCATCGCCAATATCTTAGCTTATGTAATTATCCATGATAGACCAATTCCTCATAATATTTTTCCATAAACTTGAATCACGGGCTTTAACATTAGCACTTCCCAATTTATCATTGTTCCTATTGTATCGGTGAGAATTGGAGACCATAGCTATTGATTAGCTAGGCTTCACCAAACATAATATATCACCACCGATCTTTAATTTATCCAAGGGAAGGGGAAAAGAACGAATAAACCCATAAACATGCAATACAAAACAATGCAATAAAGATTATCATCTTTCACAACTACATGTGCAATACAAAACAATGCAATAAAGATTATCAGCTTTCATAACTACTTGCGCAATCCAATAATATTAGTAGACTCATTGATCCATCGTTCAAATATTACCAGCTTGCAAAACTACTTGCGCAGGCCAATAATATTCTCAAGAGAAACTCGTCTAAGTGTATTATCTCATAACAACTACCTCATGTCTACACCTGGATAATCACCGCTCTACATCCTAAAAGGCTAAGAGGGGTTAATTGGTTTTAAAGGTCCTTAGCTTCTCGGGCTCCTATGTCGACAATAATAATTCCATTACCACTACTCGCAATGACAAATACTACCATTAAAGGGGCCTCCATCTAGTGTGGATATATCATGTGTTAATCATACTTAAGATTACTCCTAACATGTAACTTTTGATTATGCCACTATCATATCTTATTGTGCATTCAATTTTGGGTTAGAACTTATCTCACCTCTCATACGTCACCCAAACACCCATAGAAGAGTAAACAATTAAACAACAAACAAATAATAACAATACAAATAATAAGATAGGTGCAACCCTCTTGGGAGATATCCCTAGTGAAGTCGCCATTTCTATCATGGTGAGAATCAGACACCATAACTATTGATTAGCTAGGCTTCACAAAATATAAGATATCACCATTGATCTTTAATTTATCTAAGGGAAGGGGGAAAGAACAAATAAACCCATAAACATGTAATGAAAAACAATACAATAAATAGATCTAAGGTACGGGGGTTGATTATACTAAGGGAAAGTATTAGCATCCTAAATATCTATAGTATCCTATAGTAACCTCTTGTGGTATTTGTGTTCTTGGTTAGAGTGTTTTCTTTTGATTGATTGAGGAGATGAAAGGAGAAGCATTTTTTTTTTATTTTTCTGTTTATCAAGACAAGAAATCTTGTGCCTACATACTAATGAAGGATCAAAACCTCGTAATTCGGGGTACAAATTGAAAAAGTTTTGTTATTGTAGATTTTAATAAAGAAGAGACAAGTTGTCATGTTAAGGAGAATACTCAACTAATCCACCACCAACATGTGGAAGATAGATCTTTGCTTCACATTGATAGAAAGGCTCCAACTTGGATGTACAATCAACAAGTATGTCACATACCTCTCTCAAGTGGAAAAAAATCAACATCCTTCTCAATAATTTCATGGGGTATGAGATTTATATTTCAACTAGGGATGAATCATGTCTAATATTTTTTCGAGAAAATTTTTTAATTTAAAAAGGCAAAGTGAAAAATATTTGAATAAGTTTTGTCTTTTAGTTTTATGAAAATGGTTTGAATATACTTAAAGTGTCTTGCAGTATTTATTGAGAAAAAAGTTTGAAAAGTCAATGACATAATGTCAAGATTTCTATTGAAAAAGAGGTTTCTGTTGAAAAAGTTTAAGTTTGAGAAAAAGGGGAACCTAATTGTGAACCATCTAAGGGTAATAGCCTAAGGGAAACTTCCTAGAGTGAATAATCTAAGGTGATCAATCCAACTAAAGGGAAAACAAGGATCATGCAAATGGATAAATCCAAAAGAGGATAGGAAGGCATATGCATATGACAAGAAGTCAATAAGAAATCCCCTCTCTTAGGTTAGGCAACAATGGAATAAGATGGGAACACAAGTAATACTTGACATTTCAACAACGAGGTCAAGTATAGAAACATGATACACAACATCAACATGACTTACACATAATCAAACAATGAGCAATCACAAGGCAAAGTCTTCAGCAACATGCACATAGGGTATCGGGGTCGATTTCTACATTCGCGAAGCCTAAGGTGTTACAATGATACCGATGTTTCAAAAAGAATTTTTCCGAATCATCTGCATCCTAACTCGAACTTTCCTCGAAGCCTAAAAATTTACAGGATAGTACACTTTTTTGTCAATAAAATTTTTTTTGTGAGGCTAAGAAATGAGGGAATAAGGGTATATTGCAAATGACTCGTTAAGCCTAAGTGTATTCTAAAAAGCAAACTAAAAAATAAGGGAAATAAACTAGAAAGTAATAAAAGAAAAGAAAAATGCGAGAAAAACAAATAAAGTCTCCTCCCACAGTTAAACCAAACATTGTCCTCAATGTTTTGATAAAAGGTGGAGAAAAGGAAAGATATAACCTGTATGAATGCTACTGCATGCCAAATCTTCTCTGATCCCCTTGCTATCCCTGTCGTCACTGACCACTTCTATTATGGCATATGGAATTTTGAGATATCTTCGTTTGTGTAATTCTCGGACCAGCTCATCATATTTCCTGCTTCCAGAGGAAGTACCTGCAAAGAGTGTTAGAAAAATATGGTGCGGTGCGTGCAGGTGGAACTTGACCATGCAAAGAGCGAGGAAGCAAGGAAGAGGCGAGTTGCTAATGGGAGAGACATTCTCTCTCCTATCATACTCATCATCAGTGTCACTACGAGCAGCAACACTCGTAGGAATGTCCGTAGGCACCAACTCATCTTCCGAGATCGTCGTCTAGAGAGTTTCCGCCTAGATACAGCTAAGACGTGACAAGCGATACATTTCTTTATTTTCTGCAAATTCAAACAAACAACCATAAAAAATAAAAATCTCGTGGGTTTCCTCCCACGCATCGCTTTGTTTAACGTTGATAGCTCGATGGCTAAGGAGTGCAAGCACTCATGCTGGTTCTTTCGATAATGGTTCCTCGATCGAACTTTTAATAGTCTTCGATTTCCATGGCCACTTATCAAGACATCTCTCATATCCTTCACCTTTTCTTTTCTTTCTTCTGTGGGGTGGTTCATTGTTTTGAACTTGTGGTGGTGGTTCTGGATCTATCCTGAGTATCAAATTTTCAAGTTTGGGCTTAGTTATTTCACCCATCACCTCAAAAGTAAATCTCACCATTTTAACAGTAATGATAACCCTAGTGTCATGGTCCTTGAATTTTCTTTTTTTATGCAGGGTCTCAGAAAAAGGTGTGTTGGCGTGGATATTTTCCAATACCTTCACATATGTTTTGGATTGGGAGTCTACCTTAGCTTCCACAACCCTTTTTGGGAAAGAAATAGGTGGGGTATAGGGAGGAGGAACAACAATGGGTGTTTCCTTCTCTACCTCTTTGACAACCTCCCTTTTGGGTGGTGTCAGTGGATTTTTCTCAATATCTATGTTTTTCTCACCAGAACTCTCCTTAAGCTCATTATCACTCTCCCTAGGATTTTCTATTTGTTCTTCACTACTGGTTGTTACAACATCCATATGTCTCTTAGGGAAGGGTCCTATAGGTGTCTGTGCAAGCAGGAAGGTTTGAGTCTCCAATGCCTCATTGTGAGTCGCGAGGGAATCGACCATAATATTCATCTTCCTAAGGTTTTCATTAATTTGGAAATGTTGTTTTCTAAAATCTTCATTTTGAAGAGTTTGTGTCTCCACAAAGCACTCCATCATAGATTCTATCCTAGAGTGAGTAAGTGTTACATTGAATTCCTCCATTAATAGTTAGAGGCTGGATTTATGGAAATCTTGCAATTCCTCAAAATATTGGGAGTGGTAATTGTAGAGGGAATTTGGGTTATACATAGTAATTGAGATAAGAGTGCCTTAGTCTATACGGTGTAACAACAGGGTACAAATTTTGACGTAATTGGTCCCCGACAACGGCGCCAAAAACTTGATGGGCGATTCGCAAGTGCACGAATAGCATCAAAGTAATACAAAATATTATCGATCCCATAGAGACCAAATGTCAATCTATCGATTGTTATTGTTACCGTGTTTATCTAAGGCAAATCAAATAAAAGGGTTGAGTTGTGCGAAATAAAAGTAAAGTGCGGAAATAAATTAAACAATAAAGCAATAAGCATAGATGCAATTCATATAGCTATGTAGTATTCCAGATCTGTACAAATAGGATTTCTTATGGGGTAATGTTTTCTACTCATGAAAAGAACTAATTTAACAGGAATTGTCGTTTTCGCGTATTCAGAATCGAGTTTATCCCTAATCGATCCCTCTTATTATCACTTATAAAAAGGTGTGCATTGCGTCAGGACTAATAAACCTATTTTTAAGAAATATAGTTTCTTGACTTAGTTGAAAAGTATTTTGACCTGGAACTTCTAACAAAAAGAGTTTCTTACGAACCAGACTTTAAATCCATAAACGCGTTCAAGAATAGTTTTAAAATCAGTTTTCTCAAACATTAAAGATTCCTACTAACTGAACCAAGCGCTTTCGCGTCCTTTGAACAGTTAGAACTAACCAAATTTATCTAAAGGTTGGACGGCTTTCGATCTTACCCAACGGAGTTTAAGTACAGAAAATAAGTGTTTAAAAGTCAGAATAACCCCTAAGTAATTCTATCGACAGCCGTATGGAATACTATTATAACTACAGTCCTTGCATCCTAGCCTTTAAGA